CAGATTTCAGAGCCAAGTTGCTGGCAGGTTTAACTAGAATAAATTTCCAAACCCCTAGAGTTTAATTCATTACACATCAATATACTGCCTCCTTATACAAACACAGAAAGAAGACTCACCCCAAAAATATTGACAATGGAATACAGTAAAATATAAATGGATTTATCCTTTGACTTGACTTATGGAATGAATGGCTTCTTATAGTAATACAACCCTCTTTGATCATCACCTCTTATCTCCCAGCTAACCACCCACTAGCCTTTGATCCCACTGAGATTTCCAATCCATTGATCCTACCAACTTCACTCTCCCTAATCATCTCGATTTTCTCTCTTCTCTATTCACCAGCTCTAAATGCTATGGTCATTCACTACAATACCTTCCTTGCATACATTCACAACTCCCTTGCCACTATTATTACACCCACTGGATAATCTGAAACTCTGGTTAAATCCTTCTCTTCACTTGCTCCACGCCACCACTGTGTCAATGAACATAACAACCTACTGACTGGTCTCGCTTCAAATTTCTGACCAGAAACTAAACGTGCCCTTTAAGGCAGACAGACAACTTTACTGTACTTCCTCAGTCCGTTTACTCTCCCCATAGAACAATTCACACCTTCTCTTTCCTCCAACCTCTACCACCTCCTCCTTTATCCTCACTCTCAGTTGATGACCTGCTTCCTATTTGCAGAAAATGAAAGCAACCAGAAGAGAATCTCACCAGTTATCCTCCTTCCAGACCCTCCATCCATACCTTTTGCCCTATATCCATGTTCCTATCTAAAGCGATGTCCCTTCCTTTGTGCACTAGTTTTGGTACACTATCTCTCCAACATCACTGATTTTTCTTTCTCTGTTGAATCATGCTCATGATCATGCAAACATCCTGCAATTGCCTCCCATCTTACAAAAAAAAAACAACTTTCTTAACCCCATTACTCCCATTTCCTCTGCCCCCCTTTGCACAAAAATCATTGAATTGTCTATACTCACATTTCCAATTCCTCCCTCTAATTCTTGCTTAAGCACATTCTAATCCACATTCTGCCACCTTATGTGTTCCTGTCAAGGTAGCCAATGATGTCCAGTTGCCAAATTCATGGTGAGTTATCAGTTTTTATTTTCTAGACCTTTCAGCAGCATTGGACTCGGGTAATCTCTTCCCTCTGAAACTCTTCACTGGCTTCTAGGGCATCATATGCTCCTCTTCTTCTCACCCTCTTAATGTCTCAGTGCCCCAGAGTCAGTCCTTTCTCCTCTTCTCTTCTCTATATACGTTGACTCCTTGGAGATCTCTTTAGTCTTAGACTATAAATAACCATCCAAATGCTGGAAAATCCCTAATTTATATCTCCAGTCAGGCATCTCCTCTGAACTCCAAGATTATTCTACGTCTCCAATTACATTTAAACCTTCCAAAATGTATCCTTACCACTTGACTCCCTAAACTTCTCTGCCTTGAATCTTGCCACACTTTAGCCATTGGCAACTCAAACCTGGTCAAACTAGAAAAGGTGGAATCATTTTTTTACTCCTCTCTTTCTTGCAGATATCATATCCAACTATCAGGAAACCCTATTCAGATATATAGAGAATTTCAAGTATATAGAGAATCTAATTTCAAATATATAGAGAATCTGACCACCTCTCACCTCTGCTACTGCTACGCCTCTGGTTCAGGCCACCATCATCTCCCACCTTGGTTATTACAGTGACATACTAACTAGTCTCTCTGCTTCCATCTCTGCCCCAATAGAGCAGTCAAGTTGATCCTTTTGAAATGTAAGTCAAGTCACATCACTCCTCTGTCAAAACCCTGCAAAGGCTCCCAATTTCATTGAGTACAAGCCAAAGGACTTACAATGGCCGGTAAGGTGCTACTTCATGTGAGCCCCTGTATCCATAGTGTCCTCATCTCCAACCACTCATCCAATTATTTACCCCACTTCAGCCATGCAGGCCTCCCCACTCCTTCTCTAGCAGGCCCGGCATGCTCCACCTCAGAGCTTTGCATGGGCTGTTCCCTTTGCCCGGAATGACTTCCTCCCAATGTCTACACAGCAAACTCTCTCACATCCTTCAGGTCTTTGCTCAGTTGTGACCTCCTCAGTGAGGCCTTCCCTGGCCACCCTATTTAAATTTTCCACAATTGCTACCCCCTCAGACTTTTTTAGCCTTTTAACTCTTGTTGATATTTTTGTTGAAGCAGGTATCACATTGAATATTATTGTCTGTCTCTTCCGACTAGAACTTAAGCTCTAAAAAGGAAAATACTTTCGTCTGTTTTGTTCACTGATGTATTCCCAGCACATAGGAGGTGCTCAATTAGCACCTGTTGAATGAGTGAATCTATTTCCCCTACCAGACCATAAGTAACTTGAGGTTAGACTAATGCTTTAATCATCTCTGTACCCATCTATCTATCTAAATTTATAGAGATGATTGTATATATATATATATCTTTTATATATAATGCATATATATTCTTTTATACATGTTTATATATCTTATGTATACAATGTATATTATATATGTATGCACCTTTTACATACATAATATATGTACACATACATTGCTTTTTGCATCAGCCTGACTACTAGAATTTGTTCTGAGCCAGATACTCATCTTCCTGATTGGCAGGGGTGGCAGCAGGACACATTAACATGAGGTTGATCATTAATGCATATCGTCAGAGATGAGTCCCCACCTGCCTCTAGAAAAGTAAATGGCATTGATATCAAGAGAGGTCTCAAACATGACCATCAGAAAATGGGAAAGCCAACTTGCCTTCACATATTACATATTCCTCACCACAGCCTTTTCCTAAATACCTTTCCAGACTTCCCCCAAGCTGTTGCTTATTCCCGGTAACAGCTAAATCAATTGACCATATTGTACTGGTTTGCTTCAATGTGTTTGTTTACTAGTTGAAGCCTGCATTAAGGGCAGGATTATTTCATGATGCTCAGCTGCCTGGCCCTCTTCCAGCTCTCTCTCCTCCTAGCCTCTCTGCAAAATGGCAATCTCTTTCTACCTCTGAAAGCTTAAACATCTTGAAAGTATTTCACTATCACATAATTCTCTGTCCTTGTGAGATTCTCTGCCTTCAACTGTTTGAATTCTGTGGCCCGAAGTTAGCTAAGAGCCCGTCACAAATAACTATGCCAAATGCATCTTTATCCCTTTTAGCTTCAGTTACTGTCTTAACCTGTGCTCTTCCCTCTTTTTGTCCAGTTATTGTACGTCAGATGAAACGTGTGAAGCTATTTCAGCAAATATGAAAAGATAATATGAACATGTCTCTAAAATGTCACTTTTCCAGTTTTCTTTTTGGTTTGTTCTTTATTAACCAAAGTTCCATTGTTATAAAAACTATAATAATATGCTACCCTGGGTCTTGTAATCTCACAGACAGCTTCTACATTTTCTAAGCAACCAAAATCCCATGGTTCCTAATTAAAATATTCAAAGGTAAAATCTAAGTAATCTCTACATGGTATACTAGTGCCTTCGCTTAAGTTTCTAGGGTTAAAAACAAAAACCCTTTGCCAATAGGAAAAAAAAGGAAGTTTTGAGTCTGTAGTATAAAGACTTCAAACCACATTCCACAGCATGTTATTTTCTTTCTAGAAAATTCTAACACTATATAATTACTTTTGTATGGAAAATGAATAACATAATCTAATGCTAAAAACAGCTAGACAGAAACCATCCAAATCAAATGGGCCTTTCCTGAAGCCAAATGAAGTATTAAACTAGAAAACATCTGTGTGAGGACAGCCCATGGAGGAAAGCTCAATAGGGATGGAGCTAGCGGGGGGGGGGGGGGGGGGGAGGAGTTACAAGAAAAAAGGTGTTTTTCCCTCTATGTGTTAGGGTTTACTCGTTTCAGAGAAACTGTAACGTTGATTGTACCTCAAATGTCTCAGAAAAATACCAATCAGAAATGCATCTAGGAGCGTCCAAGGCTTCCGGTTAAAAATAACAGCAAAAACATCAATGAAGCTCCATCTATGGCGACAGAAATGCATTGATGGAGAAAAAGTGAAATCCCACCTGCATGGGAATTAAGCCGCAGCTACTCCCCCAATTCAGAGTAAAACGAGCTTCACTTGGGTCGCCGGCAGAACTAATCCCAGCAAATAGAGCCAGTGGGTTCGTGTGTTGGGAGAGAGGGACAGAGTAGAGCGCACCTCATCGCCCTCCCCGCAAAACTGCTCCAGAAACGTGAAAGCGTCCGCACCGCATGACCTCGCTTAGCCGGAAGAAAGGCGGACCGCACAGAGCGGCCCGCTCCGGCTCAGCGGTAGCCGCGACGTGCGGCGGGCAGCTGCGGGGGTGGCCCGGTCGCGCCTCCCCCTCTCACTCACCCCAGCCCCCAGTCTTTTCACGGGTCTCTGGCTCCAAGCTCCCAGACTCGGAGCCCTGGCCAGGTTCCTTCTCTGCCCGAGGTGGACAGCCTCCCAGAAACATTTTAACAAGAGTAATTCCCGCGCTGGCAACGTCTCAACAGCCTGGAGTGAACAGTCTGACCCATCGGCTTCGGGACCCACGTCTGGGTCGGCCTCCGCCACCAGCTCCACCTCCGAGCCTCCCCAGCGCCCAGCCCGCAGCCTGGCACCCAGTAGGGACTTTGGGGCAGTGCAGCCCCAAAGGCTGAGTCTCGCTAAGTAAACGGCCGCGTTAGCCTGCTCGGTCGTGAATAAGCCTGGGGTGAGCCGGCCGACGGCCGTCAGGAGCGCTAACCCGGTTCCCTCTGCGCTTCTGCCCCCAAGGCTACCACTATTTCCAAAGTCCGAGGCGCCAACAGTCCGGACGCCCGTTCTCTCTCACGGTTCAGCACCGAGGACAGTGAACACACTTTTAGCCCCGGTAGCCCCACTGCCAGGAGATTGGCTTTAGCCACGCCAGCAGGGCTGCAGGTGTCCGGACGGCGCGTCCTCCCGCATCCCACCCCTCCGGCGCCGGGAGTAAGCCAGCCCCGCGGCATCTTACTTTTCTGACTGGAGTAACCCGGGTAATAGCCATAGTAGCCGGTGATCCGCAGGATCCGGTCCTCGATGGTGGCCACCCCGTTGGGGGCCGCCTTGACATCCATAGAGAGCACGGGGCGGCGGCCCCGGGCGCGGCGGGTCGGAGAGCGCAGCGCGGGGCCCGGGAGCTGGTGCAGGTGCCGCCGCCGGTGCTGATGTTGCAGCTCGTGCTCCCGCGCCCAGGCTCTGACTCCGCCGCCCGGCGCAGCACCGGCGCCGCATCACAGCGGCGGCGGCGGCGGAGCGGCCCCCACTAGGGCCGGCCTCTCTGTCAGCCTGGCAGGTCTCCCGCCCGCCACCCCGCGCACTGCTGCCCGAACAGCGCCCCCTCACCTCCGACACCCACCGCTGCCCGGGGCGGCCACACCTGCGCGGACTTTCATCATTAACCCTGTTGACCCCTTCCCGGAAGACTAAACATTCCCCAGCCCCACCTGCCAGAAGAGACGCTTGGTCCAGGGCGTGGAAAGAGAGGAGAAGGTGAGATGGTGGCCAGGGCTCAGGAAGGAGGGCCGGGGATGGGAGAGACCCAAGCGGAACCAAGGGCTTTTAATGTGAGAGGTGCACGCTGTCGCTTGGGGAGATGACACCTTGGGGTGCCCCCAGGGCTTCGTCTACGCTTGGCGTCTGCACCACCAGGGGTCTGCTGATCTGCAAGCGTTCCCTGGAGTTAATCAGTTCTCTCCACTTGCCTAGACGACGGGGAGTCTTTTTTTTTTTTTTTTTAAGAAATGAAAAGAAAAATGAGGCCCCAGCAGGTGGTACTTGGAGTGATTATTCAGGTATCTTGGACACAAATACTTACAGAGATCAAGCTTCCAAGTCTGACATTCCATGTCGGGCCAGACCCTCCATCCGCCCAGTGAAATCATTAAAGGCTTCGGAGCTGCAACTGTGCACAGCATGTTTATTTTGCCCATTCCAAATGCCCCGAGGAGAAATGATTTTCTTCTTATTGCCAAAACATCGGGGGAAGCCCTTCAACCTGTACATATCTCTGGGCGGGGGAAAGTTTTAGCTACAATCCAGATATTTCTTCCACCTGAGTCTAGAACGTCCTTGAAGCTGTGGGTTCAGAGTGAACACCTCCCCTCAGGTGTGACTCTCCTGTCTTAGCCAGAGAGGCACCAGGTTAAAGTCAGTGAGCAGTGGGGACGATTCCTCGATTCACAGTCTATTCCTCTATTCGCAGTCACCGCCTCCTGAAAAATAAGCCTGAAAGTCTCACCTCAGAAACTAAACCGGTATGTGCAAGTGAGGGTGGGGTGTGAGCTCATCAGCTTAGAGGTCATTATGTCCACCTGCCGTCCAGAGTGAGTTTAAGACACGCCTGCCAGCTTTCACGTTTCTAAAGCGGTGGGGGGGGGCGGGGGGGGGAGAAAGGACAAAAACCAGTCGACTTCTGTGCCCTCTCAGAAACCTCCCAAGGACCTATCACATCATTCTGCCTTCAAGCATTTTCCAAACTGTGTATGGGTCTTTAAGGGGGAAGAAATAGGCAAACTTTTTTTTTGAAGATGAATACATTTTAAGCATAAGAAAATGCAGAATTAAATTTGGGTTTTCATGGGGACGTGCGTTAGGGTTTTCGTGTGGACACAAAGCTTAGCACAGGATCGTGAGGGTGGAGTGAAGCTGAGATGATTGTGGCTGGGAGGAGTGTTCATACAGAAACCAATTTCCTCCCACACCTGCTTTCTGGGCCAGGACAGATGGGAGGGTGGAAGGAGCTAAAAGGTCAAAATGAACTTAAAGGAAAAAGCAACTCTACTGCAATGGTGGGGAGCTGACTATTTAAAGCAAAAATGAAAGGACTGTGCCTTTAAACTCCACCACCTGCCCCAAAGCAATTTTCAACACACTTTTGTTACTTTTATTATTTTTATTTCTGTGGCACAGCTTATATAAAATGTGTACATTGATCACATTAACATAAGTTGCTCCTTTTTGTTGAAGCTCCTTTTTGTTGAAGCTTCTATGAAACAAATTTGCCTATATTACTTCTAACATGTGTTTAATAACATTATAATCCATAGCATATTAATATATAAATTCAACAAGAGAGAAATTAAGAAACTCAAACAAAAACCTTCTAATGTAACAGGAATATGAATATGTGTAGACTTTAAAGACAAGTGGTTTTGTCCTATTCACATTTATATTTTATCATAATTAATGTATTTAAATTCTAAATAACACTCATTGTGTAAGCTGTTGTCTTCTTCCTAGTTTTGCTTTGTTTTCAGAAATTTCCAGAGAAGTAAGTAGAAATGTATTTAACCAGATCTCCTCATTCATACAAACAGCAAATTCAGCATAAAGTTAAATAATGTAAATACTAGACCCACAGAAGTCCATGTTTCCTAAAAGAAATTATAAAAATTCTCAGGCTGACCTGGAAGTTAATTTTAAAATAGCAGAGCATTTACAAATGTCTCTGTAATAGGGTGACTAAAACAGTAAATGCAAGCAGATGCCATAATCTAGGACACACTTTCTTTTTAATGGAATTAAAGTTCTATAATTATAAATTGATCAACAATGAAAAGTACATTTCTGCTAGTGATAAGCACTCTTTGGTGCATAAAAAATGATTGAACCTTTCAAATGTCACTTCAGACATCATTAAAAATTTATAGAAATTATTTTGAAAGGAGAATTTTTTTAAGTATTTTCATATGTTTGCCTGCTCACTCTGCCGGTTTCCACAAACCCAATACAGTACAAAAATTCAAATTTACAAACTGCGAATTATCAGCATACCAAAAATCTATTCTGAAAAACTGAGGAAAGACATAATTAAACAAATAAAGGCTGAAGGTAGTTAGTTGATTCACAAAATGTTTCCTCATAGTAGCCAGTTTCACATAGCCAATTTCCCTAGTAAATCAAAGAGTAAATCAATTTTCTGAGTAAATCATAACTCGACCTACAAAAATTTGGTTTGTATGCACCTTTTCAGAAATATCGCTAGTGCATTAAGCACAGGGCATCTGTCTGTGATTCCAAGTGGGTCTGATATCTGGACCATATTTATTTTGATCATCCGATCAAGTCAGATTAGATATTTATATTAACCGAATATACAGAACTTGGCTATTTGTGTTGTAAAAAAATTATTTGTACAGTAGTTCATGTGATAGTTAAAATCTTTGTGTCTGATACTAAAATAACTATACCAAGTAATATTAAAAACTAAACATGATCATTGGGCATAAATAAGTGCTATTCAAGATATATAGTCTATCATAAAATTGTTTTAAAACACCACATCAGCCTTTACACTTTGGAAGGATTCATAAAATAAAATCCATGGGGGGGGCTTCCCTGGTGGCGCAGTGGTTGAGAGTCCGCCTGCCGATGCAGGGGACACGGGTTCGTGCCCCAGTCCAGGAAGGTCCCACATGCCGCGGAGCAGCTGGGCCCGTGAGCCATGGCCGCTGAGCCTGTGCGTCCGGAGCCTGTGCTCCGCAACGGGAAAGGCAAAAAAAGGGAGAGGCCCCCGTACCCAAAAAAAAAAAAAAAAAAAAAAAATCCATGGAACCTAGTCTTCCTTACTCTGATCAGCAGTCCGGGGCCCTCTTTCATGGCGGGAACAAGTCATTTAATCTTTTTGACCACCTATTATTCAGAGTTACCACTGAAAGATGCTGAAAGAAGGGAAAACGATCATTTTTCTCCCTCTGGGAAACCAATATAATGCACCTACCTCCTTGAGCTAAGAGTAACTTGGCTGCTTGGAGAGCCAAGAATGTTTAAGCTTTAATACCCAAGGGCCGTGCTGCCTTGTACAGTCATCAGCGCTATTTACAAAGAGTTGACCCCATGTAGTTTGCACGGTTCTTGTATTTAAAAGCATCTGGCATATACTCCAATTAAAACAGAAAGCATCCGGCCTCTGACCAACCAGATGACAGTAGTGGCATCTGGGAGGAATATGAGTATGGTCTGCATATTCCATTTTCTGGAAAGCTGTTTTGAGTATTTAACCACCAAGTCATCAGCTGACCCACACTTGGAATGCTGACTCTGCCTTTCTATTCAATCTTAGACAAGAGCATGGTCTGTGGAGCCAGACTGCCAGGGGTCAAATCTGACCTCATCATTATCCAGTGACCTTGGATGAGTCTCTTAAACTCTATGACTCAATTTTCTCATCCGTAAAGTAAGAATATCGTACCTATTGTACCTGCCTCATGGAAATATTGTGAAGATTAAATGAGTTTACATTCATAAAGAGGTGATAACAGTGGCTGGCATCTAATAAGCATCATAAATGCCAACTATTATTACTGTTTTATTGTGTGTATACATAGAACCCTCTGAGATTCAGTTTTCTCCTCTATAAAATGGACTCATAGTATCCACTTAGTAGTGTTGCTGTGATGATTAAGTGAGATAACATGAAAATATCTTACCAAGTCCTGGCACATAGTAGGTACATAATAAATACTAATTTCCTTCGTCCAGCCCTTGCTCCACTCTGTCCATTATTTATTACCAAAGCTAATTCGCACTTTAACACTTCATTCACAGTAATGAGAACTCCTCTGTGGCAGTTGCTTTTACAAGTTTCCTTTAAACCTTCCAACCATGAGAATAAGCACATGAGGCAAATTTTGTGAACCAATGGAACAGGTGGGCTGCAGAATTTAAGTGCTTTGCAGAAAGAGAAGTGGCTCAGGGCCCGCAGTTCTTCCTATCCTTTGAGAAGGCCTGAGGACACAGAGTTTGCTTCAGACTGAAACAGGGACAAAAGCTGGTCCTCCCCAGGCATGGGAGGGAGTCGAATTCTGCTTGATGACAGTGCTCCAGGGAAGTGGAATGGCCTCAGAGAGAACACAGGGGGGGGAGTCTGGGCCATTAACCCTGGGCTTCCCAGCCTCTGCAGAGATTCTGCTGCCTCCAAGCTCAGCCCAGAAGCAGCAGAGAGCCACCAGCCTCAGAGAGATGGAATGTGGGCTTGACTATCATACATCTCAACAGTGACCAGAGGGCTGAGGACCAAGGTGTCTCCCTGAGGGTCGATGATGGTTGAGCTTAGCCAAAGATCTCCCCTGACTGCATAACCCTGCAGCAGGGGAGCCCCAGTAATACTGACAATGCATTTTCCACTATTCTTATGGGGAATAGGGACTCAGAGAAGAGTTACAGTAATTTAAAGCTAATAAAGATTATTGTAACATTTTTAAACAGCTGTGTTGGTAGTTATACATTCAAACCTGCTATATATTCATTTTACATGTAAGACTTTCTGTAATTTAAACATCTAAAAATGTCATGCATGCCACAACCTCCAACCTACTGCATATTTTTTTA